GTGCGGCCTGAGCATTGAGAAGTGCGGTAGTCAAGCTACGTGAAAGAACAATGGCAGTCTATGCTCTTGATTTCGGTTCTGAAGCTTCCGATTCATCAAATATACGCCTATTTAGGGTTTGCATACACTTGTCTAGCATCGTTTGAGGTCCCCCGATACGTTATTAAGAACTGGAAAACGACACTTTTAACAACCCTAATAACTCGCTGGGCCACTTTAGACGGTGTCGTACCTTTGTAAGAGACTGCCACTTTAGACGGTCTCGTACCTTTGTAAGAGACTGCCACTTGATGTTTAACGGAGCGGGGTGGCCCGTGCGAAAAAGCCGCCCTACACACTTCGACCACGTGTTCTCGAGATCGCGTCCGCTGTCAAAACACTTCAAGGAACCTAACAGTAAGTGTACCCCGTAATTGGCGTCTCTAGGTCCTTGCAATGGCCCGAACAACTCACGGTCAGAGCTATACGAGACGCCGAAATAGCGGACGCTTGGCCCTCCCGAAGACCGACTTGTGTATGACGCGTGCATAGGACGTCGTCATTTTGAGTCAATATCTCGACGACGAGACTATGCATTCGTGATTAAAACGTCATTTCTTGCGGTTGTGTTTACCTACTTAAGAAAATGAATTCAATTACGATTTCGCGTTCGGTATTCTCAAGCACAAAAGTCGTGTCTCGAATAATTCCAAAACAAGCGTTTACAAGACTATCATCAACTTCTTTCCAAACTCGCCAGAATCGTGCTATTCCTAGTCGTCAATTCTCCCAAACAACGTCTTTCAAAATGCCAGATACTCTCACGAAGGAGGAGGTCAACTCTCAGACTGATCCGTCGCTCTCGAAGCAGTATGATAACGAGACGCCCAAGGACCAGCAAATAAAGGAGCTCTACGACCTGGTTGACAGCAAGAAGATTGGACTGCTCAGCACGTTCAGGAATGGCGTAGGTATGTATATCCTCTATTCGCAAAGCATTCAAGTACTGATATCCCGTTCTAGGCCCCGTTGCCCGCTCTATGGCCGTAGCCAAACGAGTGGGCCCCGACTTCCTCTTCCTTGCCAACCTACATAGCAACAAATTCAAGGACATCAAAGAGAATCCAGTGGTCCAGGTGACATTTCAGGATAGTTCCACTCAAGACTGGGTCTCTGTCGCTGGCAAAGTAGTCACCTCGGCGAACGACGATCCCCGCATCAAGGAGCTGTGGAGCCATGGTGTGAAGGCCTGGTTCGGAGATCTTGGGGATGGGAAGCATGACGGGAGCGCGGATGATCCAAGGATGGCGCTCATTGAAGTCAAGACCAACTACATTTCTTACTGGCTGCACCAAGTCGGCACGCTGGGCTTCATCAAAGAAGTTGGGCTGGCGGCTGCGACTGGGAAAGTTGCGAATACTGGAGTTTCGAGGGAGTTGAAGGAGGCGGATGTTGAGAAGGCCAGGAGGGAGGCGTGACTGCGCCTCAGTAGGGCTTCTTTGTAAACTATAACGGGGTACGGAAATGATATGTATGTACCGTATACGGTCAAGTGGCTTAACGAGCACAACTTTCTCAGCTTTTATAGCGTCTTAAGTATTTCTGCACTTCTCATAAAACAGTACCAGTGGCAATCCATAAGAAGGATTTACTATTAAAATCTTTTAGTCTCGTTTTTTCTTTAATATAGCTTATTTCAGCATCAACTTGTACGTGAACACTATCTCGTTACAGTAACAGTTCTTAAGCCTGCGTACACTTGTTCGCCAGTGTCGGCGGGGGCTCCGCAGGATCTCGAATTTGCACGAGCGATGTCGAGTTTCAAGAAGTGCAAATGAGGTTACCTCTTGACTAAATCACCGCAGCACAGTTGGTCTACCCCTGACAGTGGTGTCAAGTGAGCAAAACCCAAGTCAAGCAGTGATGGATCCTTGTGCCCTAACTTACAGTCAAGTACTATAGCATCCACACCTCCCGGCAAACGTACTGAAGCAGCCGCCAAGCAAAACAAGCGAGTTATAGCACATAGCAGTGTGGTAAGCCTCTTCATGATCGTTTAATCCTGGGAATAGAGGTGACGATTTGACCTGTTTTCATCTACGTTATGGATTCGTTGGCACAGATTTCCAGTCTTTTCTGGTCCAAATGACAACGTGTGACCTTACTTTTGTTCAAGCTCTTCCATTCTTGCGAAAGCTTCGCGAGCAATCTCCCTCGTTTCTTCCGCGACGTCGTCCCGTTCCACTACTTCTTTGAAGGCCTTCTTCCCCGCCACCCATCTTTCCTCATAAAAGCTGGACTTGACGCTGCGATCTTCATTCTCGCCGGCTTTGTGATCCCGCACAATGCTTCCCGCTTGCAATATCCACACCGCTGCAGGCGGGACAACAGCATCCAGCCTAGTTCCTTTAGGCACTCTCCCCTTCTTCTGCCCCATCACCTCTAGCATCATCTTCACCATCCATCCAGAATAGATCACAAAATCTGCGATCCCTTCCACCGTCAGCCTCGCAACGAACGAGTTCACATTCGTCCACGCATGGATCTCCGCTATGGAAACCTCATAATCTTCCCTCGGGACATCATTCCAGCTCTCTCTTGTCGCGGGTCCAATCATCAGTAGCTCGCTCCATAGCACACCCGGTTCCCAAATCCAATCGCCTTGCAGCTTCTCAGGCATTGGGTCTGGCCGAGGAGGGTCTGGCCGTGCTTTTAGAGCCTTCACGAGCGCGAGCAGCCGATCGTGGGCAGCAGGTTCGCGCCATGAGTTTCGTTTCGCTGTGTGGAGAACGCTGTACCAGAGATTCCAGAGTAAACCTTCTGCCGATTTCTCGTTGTCTGAGCGTTCGGTCGCCTTCTTGGCCTGAGGAGGGTCGCTATATGCGTGGTCGATGGGTGTAGCCAGTGCATTTACAGTATCGCCGAGAGTCGAAGATCCGCTCATGTATGACAGTAGAGTTTTGTAGGCCGGGCCGTCCATCTCTGGCATGAACCAATTCCTCAAAGGGCCTAGTTGATCGATCTCTGCGGCCTCGTCTGTGGAGGGTGCTTCGCTCGCCATTGTGCAGTGCTGAGTGCAGTTGTAGATAGCTGCGATGTTTGAAATGTACTTCAAGCTCTCAAGGGGCGGATTCGAGGCTTATGTCAATGTTTTGTAGAGATAGACGGTAACGAATTGGGCAGGTGCTGCGTCATAGGCCTGCAACCTACTATAATTTAGCGTTCGAATGAAGTACACGATGGGAATATGCAGGGCTGCCTTGTATCATTTTCCCACGGTATTACCCGAAGAACTACATGTGAATGGTAGAAAGACAGAGTTAAAGAAGAAGACGAAGATACGGTAGACTCCGCTGAACATAAAGTGGCAGTCCAACACCGTCTGAGGTGGCTCGAAGAGCTATCAGGCTTGCCAAAGATATTACCAGACGCGTTTTCATAACATACCAGAGAGCCTCTAACAGTGCTAGACATGGGTACAACAGTACAAAAAGAGTGTGTATGCTAGAGAAAGGAAAATTGGAATCAAAAGCACGCCGTCGCTGCGGTTAGACGCACAGACCAATCCTCGAATCCGCAAGCTTCAGACCGTGAATCTGCCACTGGATTCACCCTCATCCACACTCTTTGGCTCGACATCTAGGCTTGTCCTTAATCGCTTTCTTTAAGCTCTCTAAACTTATTACAATGCCTTGTACATACTCATATCCTTCATAATACCCTGTACACCTCCCAAGCGCGTTTCCATCCCGATTGACAACATGATCCTCCAATACCCCCTCTTCGCAATTACACTCCTCTTTACGATCGCACGCGCACAAAACTACTGCACCACTGCTCCAAAATACACATCTGCCTGGCAACCAACAATGACCTTCGGCGACGAGAGCCCGACCGTCACCCCTCCGCTACCATGCCCCGGCTGGTACGCCGCGCAGGAAGGCTACTGCTGTAGCGGCGGTATCAATTGCTCCGGCAGCGCATGTACCTGTCCTAATGGAACCCTCGTATACTCTCTCCCGCTCGCGCCTTGTGTGTTTGAAAACCCGGAGTGGACCAAATGTCCGGGAAACATGATGCATGGCCTGTGTTGCTCGGGACCTGGAATATTCTTAAATGGACCCTACAATAGTACTTGGAGCACGGCGGTGTGTAATAGGGGAACTGCGGTGTTCAATGTTACGACGGCGATGGATGGCACTGTGGGCACAACTACTCTTCCGCCGGGGATCAGCTATACTGAGACGCGGTGTTTTACGTGTCCCTTGTATACTAGGACAACGTCGTCGAAAGGGCTAGCAGCGAGGACAATGGCGTCGGAGGAGATGGTGGCGAAGGTCGTGGCTGTTGGAGCGCTGCTGGCGGCGCTCTAGGTCTGGTTAATTGTATCACAGACTAAAGGAGCGTTATGTAAGGCCTAATTACCAGCATTCCAGCGTAGTTCTCTACTGCCTTCAGGCTGACTACTTATAATGAGGCAGATTCGCAATATCATTGCAGTCGGGTGGACTAATTAGCAATCCAGATAAAGTTATACCCTAAGGTCCACACCTCAGCTTCTTTGACTGTCACACGTCTTCTTCAGAAGACAAGCTATACACATATGCCCATATAACGCTATTATCTAAGAGACATTTCCTTTGCGCTGGTGCTCCTTCTGATCTTGCTAGGCTATATCAGCCTCCGCCTTTGTTTCATTCGTCATCCGTTAATATTGACCACTTGCTCGCCCTCCTTCCATATGTCAATATCATTGTAGCCCGCCAAGCGCAGGTGCTGGAAGGTATGGGTTCCCTAAGATGTCCATCTCCGCGGACCGAACGCCGGTTACACCGATTAAAACCATCCTGACAAGAACGGTCCAGACTGGCGTGATGGCGAACTACACTGCACCGGATAGATATTGCTGCTGTCACGGGTAGTCAGGTTTGGAAAAGAGAAGCCGCTGTCAACTTGCAAGAACGGTAAGTCAGATACTGTCTCTTAACTATATCAGGCATCAAAAAGAAAAGCATGTTAGCGTCCGGCGCCGCGGATCGAACGCGGGTTACACCAACTATAGCGGGCTGCGCCACATGGCGCGGCCCTGGAGCTGGTGTGTTATAACCAACTAAACTACACCGGATTGACTCTGCTTTGGACGGGGGCTTGAACTACGGCACTTGTATACGCGCAGCCTTCACCTCTTTGGAGAAATTCAAACAAGGGACTGCTGAACTTCCGAAAATCCCAGACGACAAGAGCGTGAAGTATAACATCAACTTGAAAATAATGCGAGTATCTAGGCGGAACGATGCGCAAAAGTGAAGCAAAAAAACAGTATGTCCGGCGCCGCGGATCGAACGCGGGTTACACCGGTCAAGGTATGAGCTAGGCTATTGAGCCCGGCACAAAGAGCTTGCCGTATGCGTTATGGCCAACTAAACTACACCGGATTAATGATCTCTCCAAATTATTCCTGTTATAACCATCCTCTTCGTTGAAAGCAAGGAAAACTACAATAGTTTTCGAGATGACGTAGCGGGCGGATAGTAAGTTTTGAACTTCGTAGTGACAGGCAGCGAGGCTGTCGTAGAAAGAAGTGTACGAGGAGCTATAAGAGATATGTGAGAGGAATGGTCAGCAAAGCGAAAAAGGTGAGACTCAATTTTGAGTTCTGTACATCTGTCTGCCGCTGCTTGGGGTGCTCCAATGCATTTTTAAAATTGAAAACTCTTAGCTTTGCGCTATTTGGAAACTTGTTGAAGCATTCCGAGCAGTGGCAAACAATTGCACCAACTTACGTTAGTCTCTATTTACACAAGGCGCAAGAATCTCCCAGAATTGAGTATTGATTCGGGGCCCTCTTTGAGCATTCTACATGGAGGCAATCCGGCGTCCCCTCTGGTATCGACGAAAGTATCAGATAAACGGCAAACGCACATAAAAACGGCGGGCTGGAACGATGCATCGAGCCTGTCGTCAAGGTCGTTCATGCGATCCCGCGTAGATTCATCTCTCGACATTGCCCTCGTAAGGGGCGTCCCTGGGTGGCGAGAAACCCCCGTGCCGAAAAAAAACAATTGTTCAAACATTTCAAGTATTTCCTCGTAAGCCTATGAAGTCATAACCAATGAAATAATGTTTTTTGGGCATTTATCCTTAAGATGGGAGTTTGCGACTAGATATATACGTCGGTCTTGGTCATGCTGTCGATCGTTCCGTTTATGGCGTCCAGAACCAAATCGGCTTTACACCCCTACTCCACCACCACTACCTACCTATTTTCCGGTTTCGGAGCCTTAGGGCAATAGTTTTGTTGAAGAAAAATATATCTAAAAGCGGTAAGAATACTTAGACTCTAAAAACGCATTCACTTTAAAGTTTCTCCGTGCGAGCGCCCGGTGTCTTGGCGTATGACTTCAGCCTGCTTACATGATGAGGTCAGCTAATCGTATTACAGGGGGCAATAGTCTGGATTGCCAGCATCTTGGCGGTAAACGTTTCACGATGCCAGCAAACGCCACCAAGACGCTAAAGGCTTTAAGCGATGCCAAATACAGTGTAGGCCACTGTAAATCAGCATCGCACCCCGGCCGTCAGCGTCCATATGTTGTTTTCTGGCATGCACAAATCAGACGCTCACGTGACCCAAAGAAAATCAGGTATTACAAGCCTTTTTTTAATCGCTTCATCGTACTTATTATAAACGTTCTTAGTAAGGCTATACTTCATTTTAGTTGCGCAAGCTGTAAGGTGTGCAAGAGGGAGAGAAGAGGGTTAGGGGGCGGCTAAGTATTATGTTATCTAGTGGTTGCTCGGCTAACTTAGCACGTGCCATGCACGTACACGCCTCCCCCTTTATTATCTGCCTATCCCCCTCGCCCTCTTATTATCCTATACACCTTACAGGCACACCTAGAGGACATGCGACCGGGGAAACTACCTGCTGCAAGGCAAAAATCCTAAAATGCGTGTCGCTAGAGTTTGCTTCTAACCATCACGTAATGGCTAAGCAGCTCTGCGTAGGCTGTATAAGTTGTGCATGCTAGATAATGCTGCACGGACGCTAATGTTTAGTGCTACAGCTATTTTTGGCTTAGAGCGTGAACGCTAACGTTCGGGTGGTATTTGCTGGCATTGTAAAACGTTTACCGCTAAGATGCTGGTATTCCAAACTATTGCCCTATTACAGGCAACTGAGACGACCCCAGTCGACTACTTTTCCGGGCTAATGTTGATTTGGCTCAAAGACTGATTGGCTAGGAGGCTGCTAATTACCCTTAAGGCCGGCCGGAAAAGCTACCTCAAATGGTAAGTCTTTGGCTTGATTTTAGCGCTTGTTCACCGGACGTGGTGAACTGCTGTAGAAGTGTGGGCGCTCTTCTAGGATTCAACCAGGTTTTACTCCGTACACCCTAGTAATCTTGAGATTGTTAAATATTAAATTCGTATTTGAACTCATCTAAGTGGCCGATGTTGGTAGGGTTGCTGTTTCGGGCACAATGGCTTGTCTAGATGTGGCATAGATTTACACAAGAACAGGGGCCTGCCTTCCCGTGGATACCGTCTTCTCTGAGATTATACATACGCCACCCTTGGCGCGCTATTTTAACCTTACTTGTTGAGCGTATCAGGTCACCCCTATCGAGCTGATTTGTGGGCCTGTCGGCACCCATCGGCGCCCATCGGCGCCTGGCAGCTCGATTCCCCGACCAACTTTACGCTCATGGGTTTAGTGCGTGCCAAGGGTGGCGTATGTATAATCTCAGAGAAGACGGTAGAGTGAGATGCACTCTTAACTGTCTCTTATTAACCTTACAAAGGGTACGATGACCTTCCGAGCTTTCAAAATACTCCAAAGCATTCCGAGTATGGCGAAAACAACGCATGATCCGTCACCATCGTATGAATCGGTTCCCAACATTGCTCGAACTCGTGGGACGACGCAAGGCAGCCGCCCCAGGATGCGAGGCATCCAATGGTGGACGAAGCTGGTCCCGTTCTACGTTATCATCCCAGTTGCGGTCAGCCTCGCTATTGAAATCCTTCATATCCGACTGTACAAAAACACTGAATCTCTGTATCGATGGTCAACCTACGATCGTACTTCCGTGCAGGTCATTGTGCACATTCTATCAACAATATTAGCCATCCTTCTCGTCTACCCAGTATGCACCGTCCTCAGCTTCTGGACGAGACATCGTCTATCTCGACGCGATGTGGGTCTAAACCGCCTTAGACTGTGGTCCGCTATGGTACAGGGAAGACTAGATTGGAGTTTGCCATGGCTACCTTCGCTATTGGCTCTGGGTTTCTTTGCTCTCACCTATCTCCCTGCGGCAGTTTGGGCTGGTGCACTGACTCCTGTTTTGACGGTGAAGGTGGAGCACAACCTACCATTTCATATCCCGGCCGGTGGGCCAGGTGGAGACTATGCGCTATCGCCAATCCAGTTATCATCGGGTATCTTTGGCGAGTGCTGGACAGCATTACAGAGTAATGGTACTTTTACCAATTGCCCACAAAAGTATGATACCGGTAACCTTCTGCAAACGATTGCCTCTGCTACCAGTTCCAATATGGCACCGCGCAACCACTCGAAATGGGACAACACCGATTACCAATACATCGGACTATCGTATGGCGTAGGTGCTGCGACCGGGCTGACGGACGACGGCCTCCTCAATTTGACGTCCAACGTTCAGGGCTACAATTATACCGAGATAGGCCTGATCACCAAGACTAGTTGCATCTACAACGAATCAGCGACGTGGCGGGTCTACGAGGCCGACGATATGGCGAGTACTCCCCCCTACCAATGGTACTATGCGTCAGGCCAACTTCCGAATTCAGATTGGTCCATCATTAACATCTCCAACCCGACCGCTGCTGGTACCGATTTTTTCTACCAGCTAGATTTCAAAGACGGAAATGAAGTCGTTGCCACGCTTGCGCGCCCACCGATCTCTCGGGACTTTAGTAGTGGAAATGGCCAGTGGTTCTTTGGCCTCGCAGCGCTGAACACGTACAAGGAGTTGGACAAAATACAATGTGAGATGAAGTTCGTACCGACGCGGTTTCTCATCAGCGCATCAACGGCGAACAGAACCATCACGGTGACGCCAGTCACAGACGCTTGGACTGAGAACCTGGATGCGAAGGGGAAATTGCGGGCACGAGCCGTTAGCTCAATGGGTGTGTCTTATATCGTTCTCTCCTTGTATACGTCTGTTGTTGGCAACGCCTTCATGGAAAACGTGCACAATATGTAAGACAAGCTCCATCTAACGCAGGCTATCGAGTCCAATATAGACAATGCCACTGTTTTGGCAGCAGTGGAAGACTCAGTCACTGCGATGATGGACGATCTTTTGGTCACTCTGACGGCCGCGTCACTGACGCAAGATGGCGGAGCTCAACTTGCTTATGCCAATGTCACGATACCAGCTGTGCAGATTGGGAGCGGCGGGTTCATTGCGGCAACCTTGGCCATGAATGTACTAGGCGCCATAGGAGTCTTTATTTCGTTTTTCTTCTTGAGGAAGGCGGAGATTCCCCTATTTGATTATAACGATCTTGGATGTATGGTTGTAGGGACTTTGAATGGGGCGAAGCCATCAAGTAACAGCCAAGGAGAAAGAGACGCAAATGTCCTTCATTCTTGGGATGGGAAAGCCACAAGCAAGGAGATGAACGCTTTGGTGGCTAAGTTGGAGATTACAGAATCAGGACAGCCTGCTATAGTAACGACCCGGGTGAAAGAGCGAGTAGGCTAAAGGGCTTGGTGCGGTGATCGGCATGAATGCTGCCGCGATTGGATGAGGGTGTCAACGGAGGCTGTCAACGAGATTTGCCTTGGCGCCTGCCTCAGCCTGCGAAAGCATACGAAGATACCGAAGACGAGAGCGAAAAGAAAAAGATCCAGAAAAGAGCCGTGGAAAGGGGCGTCAAGGGAGCTCTCAAGATTGCGGCTACCATCAACAACGCTTCGGTCAACGCTTCGAATGCCATCGTGAACATGGGCGTTGCTTTGAGAGGCATTAGTCAAGACCTTACGGCGTTGCAGAAAGTGATGGAAGATCAACTCAAGGCGCTGAAAGAGACGCTCCAAGGCCAGAAGGATGCCTTGAAGACGATCCGAGA